GGGAAGAGGAGATATGTGGGACCTGAGTCATTTCTTTCGGCACTCAAGCCACCATGGTCCTGCAGACTTCTCAGGTATCAGGAGCTTAATGAAGCAGATGTGTTCATAGGCCTCAAAGACGAAGATCCTGGGTGGCAAATTTCATTCAGTATCACAAAGGACAGGAGAGCAAACAGGTGCTAAGTTCCTTTCCATGTTTAAAACCATGTCCTTTTTGTCATACCCTGTCAGAGAAGAGGCATCTCTGGAGAAGGGTCCAGGGAGTTCCTGGACAGAAGGGGGAACTTGACTGAGGACCAGCAGGGTTCTTGGCTTACATGGTGGAAAAGAAGTTCAGCATACACTAGTCAGGGGCATACACACATGTTTATTTAGGAAAGTAGACACATAATCAAGGGTGATCTCAGGAGAGAGATGCCTTTTGGGGTAAGGCAAGAAATAAGCATTCATGGGAGCATGAAGGCCATCTTGAGAGTGAGAGATGAGGTTTGGGGGTTCCTGTCTCTTCTTTTAAAGGAAACTTGGTGAGGGAGGGTTGGGTTCAGAAAGGTGTGAAGAAGCCAGGCGTSGTGGCGCATGCCTATAATCCCAGTGGCTCCAGTTGCTAAGGCAGGAGAATTGTGAGTGCAAAGCCAGCCTCAGCAAAAGTGAGGCATTAAGCAACTCAGTGGGGCTGGGGATGTGGCTCAGTGGTCGAGTGCCCCTGAGCTCAATCCCCGGTACCAAAAAATAAAAATAGAAAAATAAAGATATGGAGAAATGGTATCACCCCAGTGATCTCCAGACTGTTTCTGGGGATTTGGTCAATCTCAGGCTCCTCAGGTTGACGTGGTGGTCTTCATTATCTGATCAATAGATAATCCTGGGAAGTCCCCAAATTTATATGTTCTTCAAGATTTACAGATTTCCAAGGAATTTGGGGAGTAACAGGCCTGAAACAGAGACTGGCTTAGGCAGTGACAGACCCAGAAACTTCTGACCTTCTGAATTAAATTCTTTCTTCCTTTTCCTTTCTTTACATCTTCTTTCTACCTGTTTTGTTTTTTTCTATCCTCCCTCATTATGGTTCCCCTTTGCCTTCCAGTTAAAGCCCAAATCCCTTAACAGGACAAAGGCTTCAAGATTTGGCCCTTCTACCCCTCCAGCTTCCTCTCTCACCATTTTGACTGTAATGTCCACCCAAACTGAACTACTTATTTTTTTAATTTTTTTTTTTTAGTTATAGTTGGACACAATGCCTTTATTTTATTTTGTTAGTTTTATGTGGTGCTGAGGATCGAACCCAGTGCCTTGCAGGTACTAGGCAAGCGCTCTACCGCTGAGCCACAACCCCAGCCCGCTGAACTACTTATTGTTACTTGAAATCACCATATGTTCTCTTTACTCTGTGGGCCTTCCTGTATGTTTATGTTGTTTCTTCTGTCTTGGATGCTGTTCCTCATCTTATATCACAACCTCCCCTTCACTTACCAGGGGGTTCTTCATGACTTAATTCAGGCATTGCTTCCTCCAGGAACCCTTCCCTGAAGTCCTTGACTGGGTAAAGAACCTTCTGTAAATGCCTACAGTCTTGAACTCCTTGAAGAGAGAAACCAGGACCTCACTTAGTCTGAAAAAGAATCATTGTCAATCAATGTTGAATGGATGTTATGGTTTAGATATGAGGTGTCTCCCAAAGCCCCTGTGTTAATGCAAGAATATTTGGAGGTGAAATGATTGGATCATCAGAGCTGTGACCAAATTGGTCCATCCTAGTTTGAATGGGCCGACTGGGTATTAACTGTAGCCTGTGGGGCATGGCTGGAGGAGGTGGGCCACTGRGGGTGTGCCTGTAAGGGTGCATCTTCCCCGCCACTAGTTCCCCTTGCCTCTCTCCTTCCTGGCTGAACGGACAGCTCTCCTCTGCTTCGCCCTTCCACCATGATGTCTGTCCCATCTGGGTCCCAGAGCAATCTAGTCGCCCCACCATGGTCTAAATCTCTAAAACCATGAGACAAAATAAACTTTTCCACTTCTAAGTTGTTCTTGTCAGGTATTTTGGTCAAACTGAGGAAAAGCTGACTAAGATCATGGTCAACAGTGAAAGGCTGGAAACCCTCCTGGCTGGGATGCTTGCTATACAGGGAGTGGAAGGTCCTAACGTTTCCAAGTTCCCACCTTCAGTATTCTCTAATTCTTGGTTGAAGTTTCAGACTAAGGCTTCCCTGCATCTGGAGCCCCCTCCCCGGCTAGCCACCTCCACCCTGTGCCCCCTGAGTGTTTGTTCTCAGGCAGTCACACACACGTGTTCTGAACATAACCAAGAAAGCAATTTACAAGAAATAATTGCGGGTCGATGTGTGCCTGGGAGCCTTGGTGAGCTCAGACTATTTCTGTCTGTGCATCAGCCCACCCAGCTTCCTCCCTGCTCTGCAGCCCTGGGGGAGGGGCTGCTGCCTCCCAGGGTGGGTAGTTTGTTTCTAAAGCAGAACTTAGACAAGTAAACCCCAGTGAGAGCCTGCTCTGAGGATTGATTGAATTCAAAGGAGAGAAGCTGAATTCAGGTTGGGGGTGGGGAGCTTATGAGGCCTGGGATGTGTAGGTAGCACACACATTCTGTTCTCCACCTGTGCCAATCCTGTACACACATAGGCTCCTGTGGAGAAAATTCTACCACGTCTTCAGGACCCTGCTCTGTGTGAGGTCTTTTTCCGACCTCTGCCCCTTGAAGCTTGTCTTTGTTCTTCAGGGCCAGTTGTGCTCAAAGGGTGGTCCCAGACCAGCAGCAGCAGCAGCATCACCTGGAACTTGTTAGAAATGCAGATTCTGGGGACTTATGCCAGCCCTAGCTACTCAGACCTTGGGTTGGGGGGAGGAGGGGGGGCAGGAACCTGTGTTTTAACAAGCCCTCAGCTCATTCTGAGGCAGCCAGAAGTTTGAGAACTACGGTCCTAGTCTGCACTAGGCTGCTTGAGATTTTAGAATTTGCAGGTCCATCTGTGAGCAGCCTAAAGGCAAGAACATTATTGGATTCTTTCTCGTAACTTCCCAGAAGGCCCAGTACTGGAAATGTTCAGAGGAAAATCAACTTTTACTGATGAGGATACCAAAGAGAGAGATCTGTCCAGTGAAAGTGAACAACCAAGCATCAGTGACTAAACACCCCCAACTGTYACCCACCCCACCATACACACACAGAGAGACTCTTAGTGCTTTCTACAACAAACAACTTGCAGTTCTTAGGCATACTGGGTTCTCAGTATTTTTGAACAGGTTGTACKCTGAGCATAATGTCTTCTGATCCTGTCTCACCTGGAAACTGACTCATCTTTGATGACTCAACTCGGCCATCGATTCTTCCTCGMTCAAAGGTTGTAAAGGGCCATCAGATAGCCCACTCGTTTTTGTATGCCTGTCTTGTCCTCCGTATGAGCCCCTGGAGAGTAGGATTCCCCTCTGTTTCTGTTACTTAAGATCAGACTCCACTGAGTGTACAATTAGTGGACAAATGTGCTGGGTTTCRAGTGCAGAAAATAAAAGAGCACACACACACCAAAAAAWAAAWWAAWAAAWWWAAAAAAAATAAAGCAAGACCAGAACCAAGATCCCTTGAACTTCCATCTTAGGGCCCCTCTCTGGGTGGCCCACTCTGCCTTTCTACTCTATCTTGTGCCTTTGGCTGGCTCAGGACCTAGGCACAGATACCTAAATGTGACTATCTCACTGTTGCCAAATCTAGTAACAGATCATGTCACTGTCTGAAATGTCAAGAGCTGCTTTCAGTGGCTACTGAGTCCCCCTGATCCTTGCCTTGCATTCCCAAAGCAAAGCCTAAAGCCTTTGCCAAAGTTAGGAGACCAGCTGAGAGACAGGGGTGGCATGAGCCTCCTGCCCTAACATTTCCTTGCTATGAGCCCAATAATAAAAAATGTTAAAAACAAACAAATAATAATAGCTAACACAGTACTTTTCATTTGTCAGCACCTAAGTACTTACATGGACTAAATAATTTTTCCCCCAAGTGCTAGGAAATAGGTATTACTATTTTTCCTGCTTGTTGTGCAGATGAGAGAGCTGGGCAGAGGTCACCCAGCAGGTAGCAAGGACAGGATTTTAATCAGGCATCTGACTTCAGAGTCTCTGCCCCCTTTTTTTTTTTTAGCTTATTTTTAGTTGTAGTTGGACACAATGCCTTTATTTTATTTTTTTTAATTTTTATGTGGTGCTGAGGATCGAACCTAGGGCCTCACATGTGCTAGGCGAGAGCTCTACCCCTGAGCCACAACCCCAGCCCTCAGAGTCCTGCTCTTAATGACTGTGTTATATTTAAAAACATCTATTTGTAGGTGAGGGTTGTGGCTCAGTGGTAGGAGCACTTTCCTAATATGTGTGAAGCACCACATAAAAATAAATAAATAAATAAGTCCATCTGTAATTTTTTTTTTTTTTGTACCAGGGATTGAACCCAGGGGAGATTAACCACTGAGCTATATCTCCAGCCCTTTTTGAGTGACTTCAGGGTGGGGAAGAATCACTGGAAAGGCAGCAATCTCCCCATTCTTGAATGCTGATTCCCTTCCCAGATGTTGTTTTTTTCTTGATATTTWTTTTTTAGGTGTAGATGGACACAACACAATGCCTTTATTTTTATGTGGTGCTGAGGATTGAACCCTGGTCCCGCCTGCGCTAGGCAGGGCTCTACCGCTGAGCCACAATCTCAGCCTCCCAAAGGCTTTTAAATACACTTATTTTGGGACTAGGAAATTGGGTAAAAGTTTTCTGACTCCCCATCAAAAGAGGGACTCTCTGAGCCTCCATAGTCTCCAGACTTTTCCGTGACTTATGGAGTTGTTACTGACCATTTTTTTCCAGGACTTGTAGTTGGTCAGGCAGAGCACTATAGCTGGGTCCGCAGAAGGACCTGGGTACCTTGCTGAGAAGTCTTTATTTATCTCACCAGACTCCAAAGTCCCTTTGAACATTCATATTTCTACCTTTCACTGAAAAGAAACTCCAGAAGGGATGATGTAGAGACATTTATTGGGTGTTTATGGATCTGGCCCACATGGGTCAGGGGTGGGGACAGTTGCCTCCTCAGGGCTGCCTGGAATGTCACTGGCAGTAACTGTGGCCATGAAGCAGTGCTGGAGGAGGTGTTTTGAGTCTGAAGCCTGCCTCTCGTTGCTTTCCAATCGCGGGTTCAAGAAGGGGTAACTCTGCCCAGGAAGACTCCCTCCTGGCACCTCCATCTTGATTCCTGTGTTAGTACCTTGGCAGTCAGGAGGCACCTCCTCAGGACCTGAAAAACAGCAAGCTGAAGCTACTTGCTCCCACAGCTCCTTCTCCCCGACCAGAATCACACTCAGCTGGCTTCTCCAAGTGCTTACCTTGGGTGATGCATTGTGTTCAGTCTTAGTTGCATCATTCACTTAACAAATACTTATTAACAAGATACCACATCATGCACTAGAAGCTGTCGATGCTTCTCATGTGCTTACAGTTGAGTGGGGGAGACAGACAATAAATAACTGTTATATGAAGATTTGACCTTCACCACAACCCCTTGAGTCAGGTACTATTAAAAATCCATTTTATAGATAAGAACACAGATTTGCCACACAGCTAACACACACAAAGTTTTGAAAACATATTGTTCTCTGTTATAAGAACAGATTCAATGATTCTCTTCATCTACTGCCTCATTCTCTTTCTTCTTCTTACATTAGAGTTTGAAAGGAAGCTCATTTAGCCTTATTATTCCTCCACTCCTATTCATGATGTTTTCTGCATGGTTTCTGTCCCCTGAACACCTTAAAACTCTTTTGCTACTACATCCCAGAGTCATGTCTCCATTTTTATCTCCTTTGATTTAACTGGAGCATTTGACAAAACTGAGAATTCCCACTTTTTTTTTTCTATAAAAAGGTATATTAAGTGTTTACGGCAAAAATTCAAGTTATCTCTCACACCTTCTCCCCCAAGCCCTTCACAAAGCCAAACAGTTCATCAGTCCTGCTCATTCCACCTAATCACCATCTGCCCATTTCTCTCCATCCTCAAGGCCACCATCTTAGGTCAGGCTTTCATTTTCTTCCGTCCAGACCATTGGAATGGCCTCTAGTTGTGCTCCTTCTGGTCCATCGTCCATGCTGTAACACAGAGATCTTTCTTATCAAGTGATTCCATGGAYTGTCCTTTCTCAAAAGCCTCCAATGTCTTCCCTACCTGTGATCCCTGAGGCAGCAGTTGAGGCTCTTCGTGGACTGGCCCATCTCTCCTCTTCAGTTTCCTTACTACTACTTTTCCCTCAAGAACTCTAAAGCTTTGCCACACCAACCTTCTCTTGGTTCTCTCTCTCTCTCTCTCTCTCTCTCTCTCTCTCTCTCTCTCTCTCTCTCTCTCTCTCTGTTATAGCAGTGATTGAACCCAAGGGCACTTAACCACTGAACCACATCCTCAACCCTTTTTATTTTTTTTTTAATTTTGAGACAGGGTCTTGCTAAATTGCTTAGGCCCTCCCTAAATTGCTGAGGCTGGCTTTGAATTTACAATCCTCATGCTCAGCCTCCTGAACTGTTGGGATTACAGGTGTGTGCCATGGTTCTCTAAATGGTCCATTTCTTCAAATTTCTGAGTCTTTGTGTTGTTTTGTCTGCCTATGCCTAGAATGATATTTTTATACCTTCTCTGCCTAGCAAATTCCTGTGCTTTAAGACATTTATGGAGGATATCCAGAAAGAATGGTGCCTCTGTAACAAAGGGAAGAATGAATTTGAAGAAAGAAGTATAGTTGAGGGTTGGCTATCCGATATCCATTTATACCTTCCCAATTATATTTGGGCGGGATTAACCCCATCCCAGCTTCAGGAGTGGGACCTGGTTGACTTGAGCCAATAAGGCAATCCTATTCCTTTGCCACCTGAATGGGCAATCAACAAATCTGGGTGTAGTGATTGATTTAAATGTGGGCACATGATCTTAGGTTGTTCAGAGTAGAGTTAATTTTTTTTTCTTGTTGTTTGAAGAAACCTAGCATCCTCTTTCTCCTAATAGCTTGATGGGAACAAAAAGCATATAGTCCCAGGGACTGTTGGCAGCCAGTTTACTACCATGAGAAAAGTCAGACTGAGGAGAATCCAGCACAAGATGGATGGCAGAGGTGATTCTCAGAGAATCGGAGAGAGTAGAGCCACAGGCCCAGGGAATGTGGACTTCACAAACCATGCCTAAAGCCAATCTCATTTTTGGACTTCTTACCTATGGAATCAATGAATTTATTTTGTTGTTTTGTTTTGAACTTTTTCTTTTGGGGGGCGCTGGAACTGGGAATCAAACCCAGGGCCTTGCACATGTTAAGCAAGTGCTCTACCACTGAGTTACATCATCAGTCCCCTGAAATTTCTATTTTAAAATAATTTGAGACTCACAGAAAAATTTTAAAAATAGTACAAAGATGCAGTATGCCCTTCATATAGTATTCCTCAATGATAACATCTTATATAACCAGAAAGAATGTATTTTCTTAACTAGGAGACTGATATTGATATAGTATGATTAACTAGACCACAAATCTTAATGATTTTTACCATTCATTTTCATATGCGTTATTTTTTATGTGTATAGATTTTTGATCCTGTGTATAGGTTTTTTTTCTGTGCTGGGAATTGAATAAGGGCCTCAGGATTACTGGGCAAGTGCTGTACTACTGAGCTACATTTCCAACTCCTATGTACAGATTTATATAACTACTGCCACCACAATCAAAATAAAGAAATTTTCCATCGCCATAAAGAAACTTCCTCATRCTACTGCTTTAGAGTCAGACTTTTCCATTAAATCCAACTTCTGGTAACCATTAATACATTCTCTATGACTATAATTTTATCATTTTTCAAGGGTTATCTAAATGGAATTATATTGTATTCAACCTTTTTTAAAAACGATTGTTATTTTAAAAAATTATATATATATGATAGTTGTCATTGGACTTTGTTTTATTTATTTATTTATATGTGGTGCTGATAATCAAACCCAGTGCCTCACATATGCCAGGCAAGAGCTCTATCACTGAGCACAACTCCAGCCCCTCAACCTTCTATTTATTTATTTWTATTTTTTGCWGTGCTAGGGATTAAACCCTGAGCCTTGTGTATGTAGGCTAAGCAAGTGCTCTATCACTGAGCCACATCCCTAGCCTACTCAACCTTTTAAAATTGGACTTTTTTTTCACTTAGCCTAATTGCTTTGTGGTTTATCCAAGTCATTACATATATTTCGAGGACATTTCTTTTTTATGACCAGGTAATATTTCATTGTATGGTTTTATCATTTATCTATTAAAAGACAGTTTTGGGGGGCTGGGGGTGTGGCTCAAGCGGTAGCGTGCTTGCCTGACAAGCATGCAGCCCAGGTTCGATCCTCAGCACCACATACAAAGATGTTGTGTCAGCCGAGAACTAAAAAATAAATATTAAAAATTCTCTCTCTCTCTCTCCCTCCCCTCTCTCACTCTCTCTTTAAAAAAAAATAAAAAAATAAAAATAAAAGACAGTTTTTGTATATTACAAATGAAGCTGCTAAAAACATCTGCATGCAGGTTTTCATGCAGATCACATAGGTGTGAGATTGCTGGTTTGTACTATATAGTGGACTGGACAATGTTCTCCAACAATATCAAGTCTAATCTCTGGAACCTGATGATATCTGTGGATATTTCCTTTCTATGATAAAATTTTTTTAGATATGATTAAATTAAGGATTTCTAGATAAGGTGATAAACCAGGATTGTTCAAATCCCTTAATGCCTTTCCAAGTCGACTTATAAGAAAAAGGCAGAGGGGCTGGGGATGTGGCTCAAGYAGTAACGCGCTTGCCTGGCAAGCGCAGGGCACTGGGTTCGATCCTCAGCACCACATAAAAATAAAAATAAAAAATAAAAAAATAAAGATGTTGTGTCTACCGAAAACTGAAAAATAAATATTAAAAAATTCTCTCTCTCTCTCTCTCTCTCTCTCTCTCTCTCTCTTAAAAAAAAGAAAAAGAAAAAGGCAGAGAGGGAGACAATATACACAGAGATAAAAAGATGGGGGTAGAGATTGGACTGATGTAGCTACCAGTAAAGGAATGCTATCAGTCATCAGAAACTGGAAGAGGCAAGGAACAAATTCACTCCTGGAGCCTTTTGTTGTTGTTGTTTGTTTATTTTTTGGTATTGGGGATTGAACCCAGGGATGCTTAACCACCAAGCCACATCCCCAGACCTTTTTAAAAAATATTTTTATTTAGAGACAGGGTCTCACTAAGTTGCTTAGGACCTTGCTAAGTTGCTAAGGCTGGCTTTGAATCTGCGATCCTCTTGCCTCAGCCTCCTGAACTGCCGAGAATACAGGCATATACCATAGCATCTGGCTTACAGCCTTTGATTTTTTGACCTAGTAAATTGATTTCGGACTTCTAATCACCAGACATGTGAGAGAATAAATTTCTATAGTTTTAAGTTATCAAGTTTGTGTTGATGTGTTATAGGAGCCATAAGAAACTAATACATAAGAAGATTTAAAAAAATGTTTAACATTATGAGAAACACCAAAAAGTGTCCCCCCAAATGGCTGTACCATTTTACATCCTCCCCACAGCAGTGTATGAGATCCGGTTCCATATAACAACACTAGATGAAGGGCATATTGCATCTTTGTACTATTTTTTAAAAATTGCCTCACTTGGTACTCAGTGTTTCTTCTTTAGTATTCTAATAGATGTGCAATGATATCTCATTTGCTTTATTTTGCATTTCCTTAGTGGCTCATGAAGTTGAATATATTTTCATGTGTTTATTTGCCATCAGTATATCCTCTTTTATGAAGTGTCTGTTCAAGTCTTTGACTAGTTTTCCAATAGGATGTCTTGCTTTTCTTTTATTTTTCTTTTTTGTGACAGGTTCTCACTGTGTTGGCCAGGGTGATCTGAAATTCCTGGGCTCAAGTGATCCTTCCACCTTAGCCTCCTGTAGGTAAGACTATAGGCATGTGTCACTATGCTGTCTGTATGTTTTCATAATGTTGAGTTGAGAGTGTTCTTTAGACATTCTGAATAAAACTCCTTGGTCAGATATAGGACTATATTTCCCATTCTGAGACTTGCCTTTTTATTCTTTTTTGTTTGTTTATTTTTGGTGCTGGGAATTGAACTCAGGTTCTTACACATGCTAAGCAACATGCTCGACCACTGATCTACATCCCTAGCTCTTTTTACATATTTTGAGACAGGTCTCTATAAAGTTGCCCAGACTGACCTTGCACT